GAAACATGTCAGGGGAATCCCTCAATGCGACGCTGATTTGGAATTTGTACCTATGGAACTTATCTACAAGCCAGTATATCTGATCCCCCTTAAGGTGGATTTACATCTGGTGTCTGAACGGCGTTGGACCTACTGGTGAGTCTGAGGTGGACCCTGAGCGTAACTAACACATCATCTTCGAGAGTCCGCCACTACGCTTGATGACATCATACCGGTGACCAGACCCTGAAGCCTTTACAGAGTATATACATAAAACGCGCAGTTTGTATGTATTTCTGGTAAGAACATTACTATACCATTACTACATGGAATTCTGATTACTAAGATATACAATCTAACCAGTTCAGCTATTTGGTGGACTACTTTATCATCCTACAGAATATTCAGTATCAATGCATATAGTCTGACAAGATCAGTTATTGGAAGACTTCTATCTGGGACTGATTTTTAACTGATGAACATTTTTTATTAACGTACATGAATCATTGTCCTATATAATAACATTTAGCGCTGCATATCCAATATTTGAATTGTGTTACTGAGGTGCTGAGATATACCTTTTATGCTAGCGGCTTTTTATTTAATTTATCTAACTTATTTAGTCGCGCTCATTCATCTTGTTTTATGTAAAAGGAAGAGTTAGGGAAAATGTACATTAAAAAAAAAATCCCCTAACCCTTTTCCTTTCTTTTTGGCCATGGGGTAATTTTCTGCTTTGAATTCTGAACTGTAATTGTTAAGAATGTTACGAAGAGATTAGATAGTATTGCAAATCAGGGGATCGAGAAGGAAAAGCAGTCAGAATATAAATACTAACCAGACACCCTATTGGCTAGTCCCACCCAGAGGATGTCTAACGCTTTCGGAGACATTGATATTGTAAGCTCAAATGGAATAAAGCATTGTGGTTCTTACAGAGACAAGTGGGCTCCCAGTTTGGCTAGTTAGCAGCAGGTTATATCGGTGAAAGAGCTGATAGCTGGTGTAGAATGACTTATCAAGAGCCATGCATAGAAACTGCTGTGCAATAAATACTGTAGTATCAAATTGTTTGGAGAAATGTTCCTGTCTGCTGATTGGGCAAAGAGTGAAAACTGCATTTTTTCATCTTTCAATATTTACTAGGTCGTTAACTTGCGATCTACAATTTACATGTTACAGATGTGCTGATTACATTTTTTACAGCTTGCAAGGGAGACTGTAAACTGTTTAGATTTTCTTTGAATAACACGTCAATGAAGTTTAGAACCCTTTGGTTACAGTTTATGAATGGGAGATGATTGGTTTCCTGAGGACATTGCTTATAGCGATGGGAGAGACTTTAGAAATTCTTTTTTAATATTTGTTAGTAAATTTAACCTTAGCTGGTACCTCATTCTGATTCTTTCATTCTCTGGTTCCATACCTAGACACTAAACATCATATCTTTGATTAGCAGTTCCTTGCTGGTCATTATACTTTCAGTCCTATTAGTAAAGACTAAATAGTGGGCAGCACAGTGGCTAAGTCGTTAGCACTTCCGCATGGCAGTACTAGGGTCGCCGGTTTGAATCCCAACCACAGCATCACCTGCCTGGAGTTTGCATGTTCTCCCTGTGCCTGCGTGTGTTTCCTCCGGGTACTCTGGTTTCCTCCCACACTCCAAAGACATGCTGGGAGGTGAATTTGATGCTGTCTAAACTGGCTCTAGTATGTGTATGTATGTATGAATGTAAGTTAGGGACCTAAGATTGTACACCCTTTGAGGGTTAGGGACTGATGTGAATGTACAATATATATGTAAAGTGCTGGGTAAATTGACGGCGCTATATAAGTACCTGAAATAATAAATAGTAAAAATAACACAGAGCTCACTTAACACTTTACCGCTGTATTAAATCCAAAAGCAAATATTTATTATATTGCAGCTTACTAATTCTTAGTTGTGATGGCTGCATTAGCTTTCTTTTTTACGCTTTCTTTCTTCTATTTTCAGTGGTGATCCAGCCTGCACATCTGTTTTTCAAAAGGACAAGCTCTCCAGCAGAATGTATCTGTTTACATGGATGAGACAAACCAGTTACCACTGACAGGGGTAATTAAAATTATATGCTTTTATTCATTCATGCAGAACCTTTGCCCCAAAAGGAAAAAAAAACTGTTTGCTGTAACTGCTTATGAAGGGTGAGCTGGAGTTTGGCTTTAATGCGTTAGTGTGTCTAATCAGCTAATGCATCAGCACTACCCCCCCCCCCCCCACCTCAAAAAAAAAAAAAATTGACAATGCTCCTGTCTGCTGTGCTCATCATTCCTCCAGGGTTGTGTCTCACTAATACAGGTGATGTGTTACTAGCCAGTTCACCAGGTGAAACAGAGGAAAAGCTAAAGAAAAGAAAACTGATGCAGCCACTATTAATGATTGGTAAGCTGCAATATAGTAACGTTTTTGGTTTTGGGTTTAATATTGCTTTAAGTCATAACTAATAGTATGCCTGGAGTTTGCATGTTCTCCCTGTGGCTGTGTGGGTTTCCTCTGGGTACTCCGGTTTCCTCCCACACTCCAAAGACATGCTGATAGGTTAATTGGCTTCTATCTAAATTGGCACTAGTATGTATGAATGTAAGTTAGGGACCTTAAATTGTACACTCCTTGAGGGATAGGGGACTGATATGAATGTACAATATATATGTGTAAAGCGCTGCGTACATTGACAGTACATTGACAGTGCTATTTAAGTACCTCTAATAAATAATAAAAAAAATTAATATTACCCAATAGTCCCAGTATTTAATTCCAGTATATATACCATCATTTGTAGACACTATAAGTTTCCTGTAAACCAGTTCATATACTTGTGATTTTTTCTTTACCAAAGTCATATAGCACATGGAGTACATTTTAGCCTAAATTTATGAAGAAATTTGATGTTTTCATTTTTTTTATTGGGTGTTTTATAACAGAAAATAAAAATATATTGGCTTTTTTTCAAAACTTTGTCTTTTTGTTTATATAATACAAAAAATAAAAAACCCAGTGGTGATCAAATACCACCAAAAACTTTATGTGTGTGATAAAAAAAAAGAATGTCATTTGGCTACAACATTGCATGGCTGCGTAAACTGCCGGGTAAAGTAGTGCAGTGCCAAATGGCCAAAAATGGCCTTGTTAATGTAGGGGGTAAAATCTTCTGGAGCTTAAGTGGTCAAAACCTCATCCCCACTGTAAAACATGGCGGAGGGAGCATCATGGTTTGGGGCTGCTTTGCTGCCTCAGGGCCTGGACGGATTGTTGTCATTGATGGGAAAATGAATTCCAGAGTTTATCAAGACATTTTGCAGGAAAACGTACGACCATCTGTCCACCAACTGAAGCTCCGCAGAGGATGGGTGATGCAACAGGACAATGACCCAAAGCATACAAGTCATTCAACAAAACAATGGCTGCAACAGCACAGAATACGCCTTCTGGAGTGGCCCAGTCAGAGTCCTGACCTCAACCCGATTGAAATGCTGTGGCATGACTTTAAGAGAGCGATTCACACCAGACATCCCAAGAATATTGCTACACTGAAACAGTTTTGTGAAGAGGAGTGGTCCAAAATTACTCCAGATCGTTGTGCAGGTCTGATCTGCAACTACAGGAAACGTTTGGTTGAGGTTATTGCTGCCAAAGGAGGGTCAACCAGTTATTAAGTCCAAAGGTTCACATACTTTTTCCTCCCTGCACTGTGAATGTTTACATGTTATGTGCAATTAAACCATGGCAACATCTAATGTTTGTGTAGTATTATGTTCAGCAGACTGTGTTCTTCTATTGTTGTGACTTAGATGACGTTCAGAGCACATTTTATGCCCAATTCATGCAAAACTCCACGTAATCCCAAGGGGTTCACATACTTTTTCTTGCAACTGTAAATTATGATAACCTCACTGATAATGGTACACCTCTCACATGACATCAATATTGCATAACAGGAGTACATGAACCATGAAGATTATAGTAGTTAAAAGATTGCAGCAAAGGTGCAAAACCATATAGTATGATACACTTCTCACGTGCCATACAAGTAACTGTTTCCAATGGCTAACAGCCCATCACACCATCAGGTCCACAATTGTATATTATTTCAAATGATTCATTCCATATGATATCCAATATTCAATAAATAGTACAGTGCTGTACATGCAAATGTTTAGGCGAATGATGTAATACTGTGAGCATGTGTAGGATAGATACCTGCCAAAAAGTCCATCCAGCAGACATCCACAAGATAAGTACAGAAGACATTACTGCAGCATCCATTCAGCTCACACAAATCAATGTATGTAAAATCATGAATGCATACACAGCATTACATCCAAAACCATCTGTGTTATAATGAAACATAATCAGCACGTTTGTACAAAATTCTCTGTTTGGACCTGTCAACATCTCAGATGCTAACAATGGAAATGTTTATAAATGTGCATAACAATGCTGGTGCTTATCTATTAGCCTAGAAATATTTTTTATATAAAATTTTAATTTGAGACATTTGCTACCTTGAGGATTTCCCTGTGACCCTGCATGGATGCCTGAAAGATTGCTAGGTTGGTCCATATAGCCTGCTTATTAAAAAAAAAAAAAAAAAAAATAAAAATAAAAGGATCCAGTGGATCAGCTCAGAAAATGTACAGTTGCAAGGATGGATAATGTTTTTCTATTTTTTCTCCTTATGTTCAAGATTAAAAATAAAGTTTATAAAAAAGTTACGCATTAATGAATATTTATATTTTCCAATTGCAGCCTGCGGATTAACCAATTTGCCTTCCGCCCTATAGCAGAAGTACTGCTACAGGGCGGCACGGATGCTCAAAATCACACATTATATATATATATATATATATATGTGTGTATATATATATATATATATATATATATATATATACACATAATTTGCATTTCCAGGTAGGGGGTGCACACCACCCTATCTGTGCCACTATTGGCTGCTAGGATTATCAGTCACCGAGTTCTGGCCAGTAATTCCCGGCTGGCACTCGGCAATCTTTGGCAAGCAGACAGGGGAAAGACCAGTGTATAAACAACACAGATCTCCCTCCTGAAAAACATGGACACACTATTTTGTAAACATGGACACACTGTTTTGTATCTTTCTGCACAGCAGAGAGATACAAAAAAGCATGTCTCCAAAGTAAAACACAACACAGTGCACATAGTAAAACACACACAGTACACTGTTAACTCCTTTGATCGCCAAGATATTAACCCCTTCCTGCTCAGTGTCATTAGTACATAGTCAGTGCTTTTTATTAGCACTGATCACTGTATTGGTGTCACTGGGGATGTCAGTGGCAGTTAATCACTTCCCATCGAGTGTCAGAATGCCCGCCGCAGTCCCGCTATAAGTTGCTGATCACCGCCATTACTAGTATAAAAATTCCTGTATATCTACCGCCATTTGTAGATGCTATAACTTTCATGTAAGCCAATTAATTTACACGTATTGGAATTTTGTTTAGCAAAGACATGTACAGTAGCAGAATACAATTTGGCCTAAATTTATGAAGAAATTAGATTTTTAAAATTTTTTTTATTTGATGTGTTTTATAGCAAAAAGTCAACAATATTTCCAAAATTGTCAGTCTTTTTTAAAGCGCAAAAAATAAAAACCGCAGAGGTGATCATATACTACCGAAAGAAAGCTCTATTTGTGGGAATAATTTACATAAATTCCTAGATTGTAAGCTCGAAAGAGCAGGGCCCTGGATCCCCTCATGTTTTGCATTGTATTGGTATTGTTCTGTCACATGTTCTGTCCCCCTTTGTAATGTACAGCGCTGAGCGAACTATCGGCGCTTTATAAATACTGTATAATAATAATAATACTACTAAATAATGTTGTTTTTTTCTCATCTTACAGTGCTTAGATTTTTTTTTTAAATATCTACATGCTGTATATAGATTTTTATGTAGTTTGTTTTTTCCTAGATTGTAAGCTCGAAAGAGCAGGGCCCTGGATCCCCTCATGTTTTGCATTGTATTGGTATTGTTCTGTCACATGTTCTGTCCCCCTTTGTAATGTACAGCGCTGAGCGAACTATTGGTGCTTTATAAATACTGTATAATAATAATAATAATAATAAATTTAACGTACAGCATTGCATGACCGTGCAATTGTCAGTTAACATAACACAGTGCTGTATCACAAAAATTGGAGGAAGAGGGGTAAATCCTCTGGGCAAGTGGTTAGCTTTTTCACATCTTTACTTTGACTGACTTCCTTTCTGTGATTTGTGTTTGAATAGGCTTTAATAGGAGTTTAATTTAAATACACACTCCTCTTTCTCTATGCTTTGCACATATGGCTTTGTGTGAACTTTCATTTAAATGAAGAGAGACATAAATTGAGCAGCCATTGTTGGGTTCTCTCTTTACAAAGCCCCACAGGCTTTATATAACAGCATCACAAGTTAAATGTTTATAAAAGTCTGATTTTGGTTACCTTTAAAATCTTTTTCTTGGAGTCTTTGAGTACACAGAGTATCTTCATATTCATAACAGCGGGGTCATGCTTACACCTTCAGGTGATTGGACACTGACAAACAAGGAAAGAAAATATAATTATTTATAAATATAAATATTTATATCTCTCTCAGATATAAACACCCCCCCCCCCCCCCCGTTAGGCCACGCTCCAGTTTTTGTAGAAAACTATGAACCATCAGCAAGAGGGGCGAGATCTCTGTTTCCCATGATGTACTCAAAGAAAAGCATTTTATAGGTAACCAAAAATCCAACTTTACTTTTCTTATATCTCAGAACATAGAGGATCTTCATAACAATTAATAACAACAGGGACAACTCAAAATTAGTGAACTCCCGACCACCAAACCCAAAAAGGTAAGAACTTCACACAACTGGCTGCAAGATGTGGCAACCAAAAGAAGTGTCCACAGTGGCGCAAACTTTCACTTGAACTAAAACGTAGTAAACGTATGAACAAAAGTCCAGGCAGCAGCTTTATAAAGCTACTGAAGCCTGATGATAAATAGCCCAAGAAGTCACAACACTCCTAGTAGAATGAGCTTTCACCAAAAAAGGAACCTCACCCTTCAATACCTAAAGTACTGTATATGTGAGCCTTCACCTTGTAAAACAACCCATTCAGTTTAAAACAGACATGAAATGCCAAACTTTGTGCGTACAAATAAAAAACATTACAAATACCTTTTTTCCCCTTTTACAGTATATACAGTTGTGTTCAAAATAATAGCAGTCAGACATCACTAACCGGATCAATCACTGTTTTTGGTGGAAATGATATTTCTACATGGCAAATAATTTCCTAGCAGGTGTAGTAGAGTAATAGAAATCCAACAGACCCAACAGTCATGACATGCATGCTGCAGATTCTGTGTCATTGAATCACTCATTGAAAGGGGCATGTTCAAAATAATAGCAGTGTGGAGTTCTATTAGTGAGGTCATTCATTCTTTGAAAAACAGGTGGCAATTATTGCCCTTATTTAAGGAAGGAAGGCAGCAAATGTTGTACATGTTGGTTACAGCGCATTTCTCTCTGAAATTCTGAGGAAAATGGGTCGTTCCAGACATTGTTCAGAAGAACAGCGTACCTTGATTAAAAAGTTGATTGGAGAGGGGAAAACATATAAAGAAGTGCAGAAAATGATCGGCTGCTCAGCTAAAATTATCGCAAATGCTTTAAAATGGCAACCAATACCTGAAAGACGTGGAAGAAAGCGAAAAACTACCATTGGAATGGATAGAAGAATAGCCAAAATGGCGCGGACTCAGCCAACAATCAGCTCCAGGAAGATGAAAGAAGGTGTGACGTTCCCTGTGAGGACTGTTACAATTAGAAGACGCCTATGTGAAGCCAAGCTATCTGCAAGAAGCCCCCCGCAAAGTCCCACTGTTGGAAAAAAGACGTGCTGAAGAGGTTACAATTTGCCAAAGAGCACATTGACTGGTCTAAAGAGAAATGGTACAACATTTTGTGGACTGATGAAAGTAAGATTGTTCTTTTGGGGTCTAGTGGCCGGAGACAATTTGTCAGACGACCCCCAAACACTGAATTCAAGCCACAGTACACTGTGAAGACAGTGAAGCATGGTGGTGCAAGCATCATGATATGGGGATGTTTCTCATACTACAATGTTGGGCCTATTTATCACATACCAGGGATCATGGATCAGTTTGAATACATCAGAATACTTGAAGAGGTCATGCTGCCTTATGCTGAAGAGGGAATGCCCTTGAAATGGATGTTCCAACAAGACAACGACCCCAAACACACCAGTAAACGTGCAACATCTTGGTTCCAGACCAACAAGATTGATGTTATGGAGTGGCCAGCCCAATCCCTGGATCTTTATCCACTAGAAAACTTGTGGGGTGACATCAAAAATGCAGTTTCTGATGTCAAAACCAAGAAATAGAGAAGAACTGTAGAATTTAGACCAATCATCCTGGGCTGGAATACCTGATCACAGGAGCCAGAAGTTGGGTGACTCCATGCAACACAGATGTACAGCAGTTCTCAGAAACAGTGCGACTACAACCAAATATTCATGAAGTCATTCAAAGGAAAGCAAAATCTTCAAACATTTTTCAGTTTATATAGTGAATGTTTGAGTTGTAAAGAAGAATACAAACACTGATATTTTTTTGAACCGTCTAATATTCACTTTTCTTCAATTTATTTAGGGGAACAACACAAATTTTATATATTTTTCTTCATGTTTTGATTTGGAATAGAATGTGTTGTGTTCCCAATGCATTTGTGTGGATGGAAATAAAAGCTATTAGAAGGATTTTGAGCTTTATTCACTTTTTTCAACACACTGCTATTATTTTGAACACAACTGTGTATATATATATATATATATGGTGTATATATTGTGACAGTGCTCTACCCTGCCATGGGTCTACCCTGCCATGGGGTAAAAAGAGGTGATGACCCAGGGTTCTCGGCCAGGCAGATGGAGGGGCACAAGAGGGTTTGCTTAATTCAGAAGAAACTGTTTTTTCAGTTTCCTCATCAGTTGTTAAAACCCGGAGTCCGGAGATTTCATAAAGATTTGTGAGGGATCAAATCTCCAGTCCCGGGTCTGTGTTTTTTAAACAGCTGGCACACTGGTGCAGGGCTTTTTGTAGAGATCTGACTATGGTTCTGGTCTCCACCCCAGCAGACAGGAGGTCTTTGTCCAAGAGTCAGCAGGGCTACACTTAGGAGAGACAGGTGGGATCCAGGGCAGCAAGGGGCTGCAAGTTGTGTGCACTGTGTTATGTATGAAGATTGTATGTAGGTGACAAACAAAAGACCTAAAAGGTAAGGCAAGAGCAGGACTACTGTACTGTACGTGTAAGCCAGGAGGGTGAAAGTGTATCTCCTTTCAAGAGGGAGAAAAGTTGAAAACCCCAGCGGGGGAAACCTGTTTATATTGATTTCAGGAACTTGAACTTTCTTTTAATAAAATTGGGCAAGAAAATAAGAAAAGTGAGTAGTTTAGATAGGGAGCTCACAGGTATTTTGCAGGAGAATCTGGAATCCTATAGCTGTCATTATCAATGGTTTGTTGAGTCACAGCCTACCTTTCTCATGACCCTTCTCAGACTCCTACACTACGGATCTCCAGCTGGCTTCTCTGTGACCTGTATGTTAACCCTGGCTCCACCCTGCATCCCCTATAACCTGCACATCTGCAAATTTACCCATTCATCTCCATCCCCCCACTGTATATGACATGTAAATTATCTCCTTCACCACCTCCTCCCTCTGTGACCTATGACCTATATGCACAGTATCTAGCACACCATTACCAAACCTCATGTTTTAACCCTCTCAGGACTAGCATGTTAATTTACAAGAAAAATGTGATACAAAATTCTATTACCTTGCAGTATCTACTTTTTAAAAAGCTATTTTAGGGGTGTTTGTATTGTCCTGGCATTTTTATTTTAACAGAAAGAAAGGGAAACTTTTTTTTTTTCAAAGTTTTTGGTCTTTCTATATTTTATATAGTAAATAAAAACCTCCGGGGATTATTCTATAGCAGCAAAAGAAAACTTGATCTGACCTACAAAATTATATACAGTAAACATCAATTGAGCACAATGTTGCATGACCCAGTAATCGTCAGTCAAGTGATCACAACACTGGAAACTGAAAAATGTCATGGTAATGCAGGGGTAATACAGACTTGTATTCAAGTAGTATTCAGGGACACTTATGGCCCACAAGTTAGTGATTGTATGCTTTGCTTTCTGATAAGATGCAGTAATGAATAAGTATCACATCTGAACTGGGGATTCTTCTCCTTTAGGGATTTCATGTCCTACATAGTCCACCTAACCAAAGTCTGTGTCATATCGGGAAAGCACAAGGGCAAAG